AGGGATTCGTACCAGTGGTGTCCGGCACTGGTGGACTATGTGATGCATCAATGGGTCCCTCATAGGGAAAAGTTTGTCAAATATTGGACAAACCAGGTACTTCATTTTGGGAACACTACAACATGTAGAGTTGAGAGCGCTCATAGAGCTACCAAGGACTGGATTGATTCATCGACCGCTGCTTTGGATACACTGTTCGCTAGACTGACCAAGTCAATTGAAACTCAGAAGAACGACATCAGGAACTCTCTAGAGGACTCCAGACGACGACATGGTACGATGTATAGCCATTTTATATTTAAGATTCTCCATGGTCGTGTGTCGCACTACTGCTTGGGGTTGATTCTCACTGAGCTGAACAGGGTGAGGGACTTGGCTGACGAAGTGTATACTCGGTGTGGGTGTACTATTTCAGTAACTCATGGATTACCTTGCGCATGCACCATTCATCGCGTTATTACAGAAGAAAGGGCGTCGTTACATGTTGATCAGGTTCATTCATTCTGGAGGACGCTTGTTATTGGTGAGCATGCAGACAATCAAACGGCCGACCGTGAACAGGAAGAGTTGGAGCAGTTCCGTTCGATGTACGACCGAGTGTCCTCCAGCCATCCTTCTATTATTCGTGACGCTACTCATGTGCTTCATGACATGTTGCACCCGTCTAACTTAGATTATGAGGAACCCGAAGGAGTTGACCGTCCTCGAGGTCGACAGCGGCGGAACAGGAGTGCGTTTGAGTATATCCGTGGTCATGGTCGTGGTCGTTCTCGTGGTCGGACATCGTCATCTAGTCGTAGTCAATCTTCATCGTCTGTGAATATGCCCCTGAGAACTGGTACGTTTTTGTTGTTTTTATTGCACATAGTTTTAAAGTGTTACTCCTGTCTTCTTAACTGTCTATAATTAATTATTTGGTGAATAGGAAGAAACGATGTTGATCAGTTTCCGTACAAGGAAAGGATACCTGCGATCATCATGTCGTACGTGGAAGGGTGGAATGATGTAATCGGAGATGGTAACTGCGGATTCCGGGTCGTGGCTGATGTTTTTCAAATGGGCGAAGACAACTACGGTTTGGTGCGTGAGTTGATGTACAGCGAAATTGCCTCTAACCGAAATGTTTATCGTCATGTGTACGAGGATGACTTGGATGGCGCTCTCCGACGTATCCGGTGGGGAGGTGGACCTTGCGGCGAAAATCATTATTTTGACGCGCCCCTAGATCTGTTTGCCGTTGCAAACATTTACAAATGCGCAGTCATGCATTTCGGCCTGGGAGTGCATAGTCAAGCTTATTATCCTTGTACCACGGTTCTCCCTTGGCGGTCGCGTGAGACTGTCACCACACCGGTCAGAGAGCTAGCTATTGCGTTTCTTGGGTCGTCATACAGACATTTCATCCGACTAGACATGTCAATCGATTTTCCGGTGCCACCGATTATACCTCGGTGGTACAACATTCGCACAACGAGCGTAGAGGGTTGGGATGCGCTATATAATGACCGGATCCACGAATGGAACACCCTAGCTGCATTTTAGTTTTTCTTGTTTACATTCTTTATTTGTAATCTTATTTGTACGTTGCTCTTTTAATGAGAACATTAATATTTTATATTGTATTGCTTACTGCATTCTATATGTTGCATGGGTAAGTTGCGCGGATCCACGAACGGTTATATCAAAATTTAAAAACAGCACTGATAATATGTTTAAGTTGGAAGCTAAAAGAACAATCTAAAATGTTACAATTTTACAACATAATGTCCAAAATAATGTTCTATAAATAAAATACAATAACCATCAGTAATCCTTCCTCGACGACGACTCCCACTGCGCAAGGGTCTGTTCCAGACTATCAACAACAGCTCTCCCTGTTGCACTCATGCTGTCCTTCTCAAGAGAGAGTTTCTGAACGTCTTGCATTATCTTTCCCATCCACTGCATACAACAAAAAACAGAAGATGAAATACAATAACAGACAACGATAAATATAATAAAACTTAATTAAAAGACAACGATAAATATAATAAAAGACATACCGCTTCCGTGGCAGTAGGCGGTGGCACATAATCATCATCGCTGTGGTCGAGATCAGCGATCAACCTCGGGTGCGAATACCGGTTGAACCATTCCATGTAGTAATGGTCACACATGGGAGTAACCCCAGAGGGCGGCCGCTGCAACTCCGCTGTCCATAATCGAGCCACCATCGGAAACTGGTCCCACGTCCCGGTCATGATATCCGGCCATTCCACGACGTACTCCCTCGACGATGCAGGTCGGACCGCCTTCATCGGGCAAGCCGGGGGAGGAGGGACAACTTGGACAAATCCAAGTTGGCGAAGACAACGCTGGGGCATGTACGCTTCGACGATGTCACGATACTGAATGAGTCCCGTGTACAGGGTCCTGGGTACCCTAACACTAGGGTTCGGGCCGAAAGGCATCCAGTTCACCTGTACAATTACAACATATAAAATATAATAACATGAATATAATATGTGCAAATAATAAAATGTAGACTCTATAAATAAACGTTACCTCTAAGGGGGACAGCCTGTCCAGCAATAACCGTATCGAACGGAGGCGGTCAACGGACTTCTTCTCCGAGCGGGGACTCCACGCACAAGCACGCGGCATCCCCTCATCAATAGGAACTGGGTCACGATGTGGTCGCAATGCAGGAAAATACTCGTATATCCAAGTCTGCAATAGAGTCAGACACCCAGTGATACCTGCCGCGTCAGCCCGACTCGCAAATCCTAGTTGGCGATACAAATACGCCAACGTAGCCGATCCCCAGGAAAACTGGCCTACACTATCGGGGTCACACGCCTCTACGATGTCGCGTGGCCTGAGCTTGTTTCCGCCGCTCTTATCCGGAAACAAGGTACATCTGAGGAGTAGAAAAACATAAGCACTCAGCTGTGCGTCGGGCGTCCTACGTGCACTCGGGTACAAACACCGCTGCAACACAGATGCGATCTTCACACCTCCGTGTTCCCAAACACCTAGCGCCTCGGTGTACAGTGCAGCCCTGTCCACCGCCAACAACTCCGCCAGCGAATCTGCCTGATCCGCATCAGCCACAGCACAAAGTCGTTTACCCTCAACACGAATCCCCAGAATGGCCTCGACGTCATGTAACATGATCGTCATCTCACCGAACGGAAGGTGAAAAGAGTTTGTATCCGGCTGCCATCGCTCAATGAAAGCCGTGATCAGCGTACTGTCAGTCTTATCGTGCATGGTGGCAGGAACGTGCTTCACCCCAGTGCCCTCCAGTCGCTCGAACATCTCGCTCTCCGCCGGCCAGGCCTCAGCCCATGTACGCAAAAAACTACAAGTCTTTTCCCGGGTATGACATTTCAACAACCCCGTAACTGAAGACCTCTCCTGGTCCTCCCAAATACGGGCAGCTATGTGTCCTAGAAAGCTAGGAATCACACTCCCGTCAACAGGCCCACCGGGCACCTCACTCCTAACAACCCAAGAATCATTACCCGCCCTCGACCGTTTCCTGCTTGCCCCAGAGACAGTGGACGCAGATGATGTGCCAGATCTACTAACAAATCTACCACCCCTACCCTTACGCACCTCCACCATATGCGTCTCGTACATGTCATCAACCCTCTGACTGAATGGACCGTAATCATCATACGGTCCACTGCCATCGTCCACATCCTCATCCTCATCTGCGCCCTCCTCCTACTCCTCCTCCTGGTCACCCTCCTCAGCATCATCATCGTCATCGTCATCCTCATCCCGACGGTGAATCCGTTCTCTACGAACTGAGGCCGAAATACCACGGGATCTGACATGTCTATGCCCCGACCTCTCCACTGAATAACTTCTACTAAGAAGCTCTATATTCTTCCCCCAACCATGACGACCCTACACAAAATTTTAAAATATATAAACATACAAAAATTTATACGATAAATAATCATCATCGCAAATCAAATACACTAAAAACAAACAAATAATAGTAAACAAAATATAAACGTAGAAAAAATACAACGAAATTGAAAAAATTTATAAAAATAAACAACAAAATATAAAAACAATTCAAAATTATATTACAAAAAAAAAAAAAAAAAATTTAAAAACAATTTTTTAGAAAAATTAAAAAAAAAAAAATTAAAAAAAAAGGGGGGGGCGCCCTGGCTGGACGCCCAGCCGGCGGTGGTGGCGCCAGATGCAGACGCCGCCACCAGTTGGCTGGCGCCTGGGCTGGACGCCACCGCCACGGTTGTGGCGTTTAGTCTAAGCGCCGCAACCGTGGCGGTGGCGTCCAGCCCAGGCGCCAGCCAACTGGTGGCGGCGTCTGCATCTGGCGCCACCACCGCCGGCTGGGCGTCCAGCCAGGGCGCCCCACCGCGTTCACGGCGGTTTTCCCCCTTTTTTTTTTTTTTTAAACAAAATATACCTTTCCACCTTGGGACATCCTTCCCTCCGCCGCCGCCGCCACTTCCTTGCCTTGCCGCCTCGACATTGCCGTTATTTTGAATTTTTTTTTTTTAGAGAGGTTGAAAGAAGATGAGCAATGAGAGTGTGAGTGATGAGAGTGTGAGTGATGAGAGTGTGAGTGTTTTTTTTTTAAGGTCAAGGGCAATTTAGGGAAACCAAGTGAATTTTGTGGGCTTTATGTAGTAATTTGTGGGCGATGTTTAACAAATCCCGAAATAAAACCTAAACCTAATTAAATCTAAACCACACAAAATGAAAGACTAGGATTAATTACAAGATAATAACTAAGCAAATACAACCTAAGTCACATCCCACATAAGAGGAAAATCATCTAAATATTCAAATCAAGCTCAATTATTTTCTGATCTTGATCAAGTCAACAATAGTCAATATGGCCCAAAAGTAGTGTGCATGCTCTCACATCAAACTCCTCCTCTTCAAGAGGAATTGTCCTCAATTCCTAAAGGTAACATCATGCCGACATGATCAATCAAATGGAAATGTCATTTATTGATAGCAAATTAACATCACTCGTAACCAAGAAGCATAATCAACAGACCTCCTAGATCAAACACCCAAACAACAAATCCAAGAGTGAAATGATAATGAACCAAAGCAACTTCAACAAAGCTATTTGCACCTTCGGCAAGTCCAATCTTACTCTTAATCCTCCTACATAACTGTCCCTCACAAGAAACAAAGCACAACCAAGGAGAACTACCAACACAAATAAGGATCCTATTATCAATCTAAAGACCAAATTTGTCCTACTTTCCCAAACAAGAGTGGACAACATTGTTTACAAAACCAATCATAAAAAAAAAAAATCATATCTCCTTTTGGAAACACTTAATCCAATTGAATAATAAGGATCATCATGAAGGGGGCAAAGTCTAGCTAGAGGTCCTTTCCTTCAACATAGACTGAGGGTCTAATAAAATCGACTTGATTGTCAAAGATAGAGGCAAGATCATACCTTTCGATAAACAAATCCAAACTCATTGTCAAATTACTCATACCAACAACTTGCAACATCGCGACAAACAACAATAATACTCTTAATCTCAGTTAAGATTCACCAATCAATTTTAATTTCTTTTCACCCCAAGCGAATTTAAAAAATGTAATAGCTATCCAATAATCCTTCATTAACAAACAACACGCATAAATGCACAAGACAAATGTGATTCTTTAGCAAAACCAGATGTTTTTTTTTTTGACAAGACGAACTAAAAACGAAAATTCAAAAAGAAACAGAAAAAAACTAGAAAGACCACAACAATAGTCGACGCTGACGCGCTTGAGTTGCCAACCAATGAGCCGGAGCTACCCAATGACGAGGAACCTTCTGAATAACGCAGGACGAAAACCGACAGACTAAATTCCTGATATCTTGCAGCAGCCATAAACAAGAAATATCCCGACACCCGTCATTACCAAGGAAAGGCAACAAGATCGAGTAATCCGTATAGATCAGCAGGCGTTGAAAACCACGGCGGTCCACAGCCTGTAGAGCCCATAAACAGGCCTGCAACTCTGACTGAAAGGCCGAAGACGAAAGGAAAGCTCTAGAACCACCTCCACGAACTATATCAGAATGTGGAGGTCTAAAAATCCAACCAGCCCCTGCAGTATTATCATGGGAATTGTAAGCACCGTCGATCAAAAGATAGACATCAGCAGAAGAATCTGAAGTTCCCATGAGATAACATGACGAAAGAACAGGTTGCCTGATAGAACCGGAGGCAACCCCAGTAAGAGAGGCCCTAAAGTCTTCAGCCGCAGAACTTCGAGAAACCCAGTCCTGCATAATATGAAGAATTACAGTAGGAGAAATAACAGCATGACGAAAGACTTTGTGATTCCGAGCAATCCAAATGGCCCAAAAGAAAGAGACTACGCTGATCAGAGTGTCCCAGAGTTTATTCTGCCGTAACTGGAAAATCAACTCCACAAACCAGACCGAGAAATGAACGTCCCATCGAACGACAAGAGATGAGAACAGTGGAACAGACATCCAGATGTCCGAAACAAAGGAGCAATCACGAAACAAATGATCAACAGACTCATGATATCCAAGGCATAGAACACAAGTAGTCTCTACTGGGATCCCCCGCTGCTGCAAAACACCATTGAGAGGAAGCGGATTATGAAGGAGCTTCCAACAGAATAATTGTAACTTGGGCAAAAGCGGCAAATCCCAGAAAGCCTTCCACCATGAAGAAGTAAAGCAAGAACCCCTGGAAAAGCAGTCAAGGCGACGTAACAACATGGCGTAGGCTGATTTTGTAGAAAATACCTCGTCCTTAATTTCCAGTAAACGAAATCATCCATCGGTCTTCTCGGGCGTTATAAGGCCAAAATACGACTAGCTGTAGAGGAATCAAACAGCTGATGAACCCGAGATGTATACCACGCGTAGGAACGCGGATCAATGATAGAAGAAACATGAGACGGGGTAGGTGTCTCACAATTATCACGAAACCTGATCGGACCTCAAGGAACCCAAGAGTCCTGGAGAATGTGAATCTGAGACCCGGAACCAACCTTCTAGGCTGCACCTTCAGCTAACACTGAAAAACCTTGTAAAAGGCCTTGACACCCCCAAGAAGAACCTGGAATCCTCCTAGTCTGAAAGAGACGGAGAGAAGGATACCGAGCTGAGAAGAAACAAGAAGCTGAGGGTTATGATGAATGCGCCAGCACTGTCTAGCCAAAAGAACCGAATTGAAAGAGTGAAGCTGACGAATTCCTAATCCACCCAGACCCTTCGGAAGGTGCAAAAGGGTAGTAGATCGCAAAGCCAACCCTCGGGAATGAGGATCCGATCTCCACCAGAAGCGAGCTAAAAGACCTTCCACCTTGGAACAGATAGACGAGGGAACTTTAAAAATAGAGAGGATATGATTAAAAGATGCCACCAGAACAGAGTTAATGATAACCAATTTAGCTGCAGACGAAAGACCCAAGGAAGCGAAAGCCGAGAAACGCTGAACCACCTTATCAATCAGGAAACCAAAATCCGCAATCTTACTACGACCCAGTTCCACTAGAACACCCAAATAAGAACCCAGAGTAGACTTACACTGAAGTTTCAAACTCCGGCCAAGGAAATCTCGATAGTCTGTCGGGGTGTTAGGACTAAATTTAACAAAGGATTTCTGAAGATTAATCACTTGTCCCGACAAAGAGCAAAATTCTGAGAGGAGCCATAAGATTTTCACAAGCTTCTGGAGAAACTTGCAAAAATAATAGGGAATCATCAACAAAGAATAGGTGAGAAATAGCAGGAGCGTTCCGAGAAATACAGATACCCTTAAGAATGAAATAGCAAAACCAGATTAAAAATGAAATAAGACACTATTACCAAATGTCAAAACTAATTTAGCAGTGTCTTGGAGCGCCCACTTCACCTATTAGAGCGCCCGCTCCTTCGATTACGGAGCCTCGAAGCTATGAAGCCACACTCCTCTGTTCTACAAAGAGCAAACCCCAATATGGCTCGATAGAAACCTGAATGAAATCCGATTTAAAACCGAACCAAACTGGGTGCTTAACTGGGAACCAATAGCCCAGATCAACGATAGTAGTGGTGGAGCTTCAAGCTGCGGTATTAGCGACGCTCTGGAATGGGCGACGCTTAAACTTCTCGACCTTTTTCGAAATAAGATAAAAATGGGTTCAATTTTGTTAAGGTCTTCGAATTTCTTTGTGTAAATCGAAAAAGGGGTGTTGTTTTTTATGGTGGAATCTCACAAGAAGAAAAAATAGAGGTGGTTCGTGGGTCTATGTCTTGATTCTCGCAGCTAAGGCAAAAGGAAATCAAGGGGAAAAGAAAGTGGGCGGTGATGATAATGATTAATGGTGATGATATGATGATAAATTGGTAGTATTAATGGCAAAATGATAGTAGCTGCAAGAACCACACAATAAACTATGGCTTTGATTTCACGTAGAACTTTTTTTTTGTAATTCTTTTTTTTTTTTGGATCAAAAGGCTAATAACCTTTGGCTCATGATACTATTTGATATGAAAAGAGGAACAAAGATCTATTTTTGAGGATTTTTTGTGAGTTTTTGAGTGCAAGAAAAATAAAGATATGATCTTGGATGAATATCTAAGATAAAATAATCAACACTAACTAAGATTATCTAGCAAAATAACTTGATTCACTAGTCACACAGTCTAGAGAAACATGGGTTTCAATCTAATCAACGATAAAGTTTGATAAAGATTGAGAATTTACCACAAATGAGAGATCACAAAGAACTCAAAGAAGAGAAAAACTCTCATATTTTCAATATTCAAAACAAGTCTAAGTTTTTTACATCATAAAGTAACTCCTTTTACACGGAGCCACTAGTACATGAAATAAAACCCTAAACCTCATTAAATCTTAACAATACAAAATGAAAGGCTAGGATTACTTACAAGATAATAAATAAATAAATACAACCTAAGTCATATCCCACATACGAGGAAAATCATCTAAAGAATTGAAATCAAGCTCAAATATTTTCCGATCTTGATCAAGTCAACAATGGTGAATATGGCCCAAAAGTAGTGTCCATGTTTTCGCATCAAACTCCTCCTCTTCAAGAGGAATTGTCCTCAATTCCTAAAGGTAACATTGTTTCGGGGTTTTCTGATGTCCTGCGGGAGAGTTACAATTCCGAGACTGGAACCGGACGCCTGTACCTGCAAAATAACGGAGACTCCTGTGAGCTCCGCCTCCAACGGTCAAGTGAGTACCTGATTAAGGAGTAATTAATGCGGAAATTAAAGTGATTTGGTCTCTCTAGGTGAGAGTGTTTAATGTAGGTAATCTGCTTTGTTAGCGAGATCAGCCGGTTATTACTGTGTGTAATTAATGTGTTTTTTCCGTAATGTTTCTGTTCTCTCCCTTAATGAGGATTAAGGGAGGTATTTATAACCTTGGAAAATGTGCCCATCCTAGGTTTAGGTAAACCTAGGGCCGATTGGGCTTCCCTCGGAAGTTGGGCCTGGGTGGCCGGTTTCTCCATTAGGCATGGAGTATGCCACATGTCTTGACATAACAGGTCCAAGGTGGACGAATAAGCGCGTGCCACGTGGGAAGCCCTGTCTGTTCCAACTGGGGGACACTTGGCAGGACCTGATTGGTCCACGTGGCGCATTCCGATTGGTGGGAGCAAAATCCCCTAATCATTTGCCCCTCACAGGTGGCACGTGATTGGTCACGTGTTTCCTGTGACAGGTGTCGCAATGTAACAGGCGACGGCCTGCTACAGGTGTCAGTCGGCGAAAGGACGAGAGATTTTCCCGCCCAAATTTTGTATTCTTAAAGTGACCCTTCGCCTTCTCACTTCGCCTATATAAGGGAGAGTTGTCTTGAGTCATTTTCACACTTTGAGAACTTTTTGAGAACATTCGGACCCCTGAACTTGCTCTGACATTTTGGACCTTTTCTGCCTACCGCCTGTTCTGACAAGCCGACTGCACAGGATTTTCAGAACTTCATCAACCGTCACTCGTTCAGGTAACTCAGTTCTCTTACTCTTAATTTTCTTTTTATTTTCTGAAATGGCACCACGGAAGCACACGACACGACCTAGGTTAGTGATCAGCCGGTCACCGGGGACGGCTGAATCTAGGACTAGGAGTGCCGCCTGCCCTTTTCCGGACCCATCTTTGCCCTTTATACAAAGTCCGACTGTATCTGTGTCTATGCAGAGCAGGATGGCCAGAACAAAAAAGACAGCTAGGATCTCAAATTCAGACGGCTCCTCCGACAGGGTGCCGCTTAGTGAAAAATCTGACCAGGCGCCAGATGTGGAAGTGAAACAAGGCGGCCTGGATGCCGGCAATTCTTTGGGGGGAGTCATAGTGACCCCTTCCCATTTAACAGTTAACAAATCTGCTCCTTTTCAAAGAGAGGAGGCGGGCCCCTCCGGGAGAGGGGAGGAGTCGTCCTCTTCGGACTCGTCGGAGGACGATTCCGAGTCAAGCTCTTCTGGCCATGCTTCTTTGGGTACAGAAGAGAAAAACAGCCGCCTGCAAGAGGCGAGACTTTCTCACGCAGTTGAGAAGGGGGACAATTGGGCGGAACCATCCGCCTCTTACCGAGAGCTAAATACCCCCTACTACTTCACGGTACCTCGGGGCCGAATCACAGCCATGCAAGAGAAAGTGGAGAGCTTTATTGCAAACCACACCATGGGCCCCGAATTTCTAGTGTTTGTGCCGGATCCAGAAGACACAGTCGTCTGGCCGGCTGGTTCCAGTTATGATAGCGCCTGCTTTGGCTGCTACGAGGCGGCCATCAAGGCAGGGCTTCGCTTTCCATTACATCCGGCTGTTCAGCGGATTTTGGATGGGTATGAGTTGGGGTTATGGCAGTTAGCCCCAAACTCCTGGGTCAACGTACTCGGCTATGTGGCCGGGTGCGAACTGCACGGGGTGGAGCCGAGCTTCGAGGCTTTCGCCCATATGAACTATCTCAGCCGGACCCCTAAGACAGGCGGTACCGGCTGGTATCAATTGACAAGCCACAAGGGCTACCTCATGACAAGAGGTAAAGCAAACAAGTGGAAGGACTGGCGGAGCACCTTCCTCATCATTGAGAGTTCAGACATTGAGCTGAACAAGCGCTTCAATAGGTTGAACAGGAATCCGCCCCTTCTTGCAGGCGGCCGTAGCATGCCGCCTGTTCCCCTCAAGGCTAAGAAAGAGATCCTTGATAAAGGACTCTTTAAAGTAGAGTCGAGGGTCGACTCTACTTCAGGGGTACGAGAGCAAGTACCCCTGCACTGCGTCCCGAGCTTCAAGTGGCTCTATGACGAGTACTTTTTGGCCGCCTGCGGCCTCAGCAGTCGGTGCTCAAGAGGTAGTCGGCCTGTCGAATACTCTGTTGTTCCATACATTTGTTGGTTATCTTTTATTAACTTTGTTGTTTGTTTTTGCAGCTGAAGCCATGAGCAAAATCACCGCCTCCAAGACTGCGGCGGCCATGTTGCGGGCCTCTATTATGCAACAAGCTTCAACCGACTCCCCCAAAAAGGGGGCACCCTTGGTGAGCTCCGAACCTTTCACCCTCTTTTTGGAGTGTTTATGCATATACTGACTTTTTTCTTCTGTTTTAGACGGGTGCTCCAAGAGCTTCATCTTCCCAACAGCCGGACCCCAAGGCCCGGAAGACGACTGTTGGGAGCTCTCCTGGTTCTGCCAGGAAACAGGTGGCGGCTGAGAAACAGCCGGCCACTTCTTCTAAAACTCCAACTGGGCCGCCTAGA